ATGTAAGGAGCCCCATAAATGTCCCCCTCAACACACAGGGAAAATGTGTTGAGCACTATAGTTTGGAGATTTAGTTAAAGGATATTTAAGCTGTTGTAGATCACGGCAGCCAGATGTGGATGTAAACTCTCTTATTATCAGAGAAGACTGAAAATAATAATGGCGTATTTATATATTGAGTGATTAATAAAAAAGTGAAATGAGAATAACTAAGATGTTTCCTAATAGCAGCAACAGCTTGCCTGCACTTAAGGAATTGCAATAATAATTGCTTAGTTTCTCTGAGAGACAAAATAATGTTGCTTGAAAGACTTTTTGATTGCATTCATGTTTGGTTGTAAATGATTACTTCATTTCCCACTGGCAAGTCTATTTTACAGCTCTCCTTCTTGCTACCAGATTTGTAGCACAAATTATGGTGTGAAATGTTGATGGAAGTGATAATAAAATGTGTAATGAAAATATTTTGATGTTTGATGAGAAAAAGAAATGTGGTATAGCTTTAAACAACAACAACAACAACCCTGCAATCTCATCAGTTCACTTGGCTTCACAAATCACATTTAATGTTGAGGGGGTTCTTTGTGCACAACCTGAGAATCACATTTAATTGCAGTGAAAGGTTCTGTGCATCCAACCGGTAAACTTGTTTCCTTGCCAGTTTAACCTTCACCATGCCACACGACACACACCAGTCCTGAGCACACCACATACCAATTTTTAAATGCTGCTATTATTGAGACATATATGCTGAAACTTTGCAAATCCATGACATTCTCATGGTGCATCATTCTTTTCAATGATGAACAATGGAAAAATGGACTTTCCCTTGAAGTCAAAGTAAATGGGATAATCCACAGGGGCACTGGAAATGTCACAGAGCTTGAACAAATCATTTTCCAAGCTCTGGAGCGCGCTCTCTCTCTCTCTCTCTCTGTGTTTGTGTGTGTAAATTGGTTTAGGATATATGCACTGGAATCTGGATTGCTTTTGTCAACATACTAACTTAGAGGACCACAGCTAGAGACCAAAGCCATATCCAGTCCCCATTTCTTTGAAGAAAATTTCTAACACACCGAAGAACAGTTTTTCTTTCCCTTGTGTAAAGTCACCTTTTTACAGAATATTCTTTCAGTATTCTTCATCATTTCCAGATGACAGGACACAACCTGTTGTTGTCTACAGATCCATGAAAAACAATCACACATCGAAACACAGGCCATTTTGGATAATAATATCCCCTCCTCACAGACTTTACTTAGAGATAACCATCTAATCTAAAACTAGTGTTTGGAAAGGATACTGTTCTGGGCTACAATTTCCCAAAGGACCCAGCCAGCATATATTACTTGCCTAATGCAACTAGCCACTGGCAGTAACAGGCCACCGTGGTGCTAAGACCAGTACAGGGCCCTTCAACAAATCTAGATGCCAGTTCCCTCCCCAGATTTACTATGACAATGCTCCTATAACATCAGATGAAGTGACTACTCTCCCCCCGCCCCCATATTAAGGGTTTCTTCACTTTTTACTGATATGAGATAGTCTCTTCTGCTAGCAGTGTCCTATTGCAATCCAAACAGGCCAAACTAACTGGTCTTGACACAAGAGAACTGACACAAATATGGCAACAGAAAGGGCAATATTACAATACCAATGAGAGAACACTTCAGTTCATGTCTAGGACATGCTGCTACTGACTGAAAAGTGGCCTTTCTTGAGTATAGAAAGTTCAGGGAGAGACTGTTGAATTACAATTCATCAAGAATATTTTTTTCCATTTAAGTAGCCAGGCTAGTCTATTGAAGCAAAAACCACAAGGAGGCATGTGGTACTTCTAAGACATGGTCTACGTGCATGAATGCTCATGCAAATAAACTTTTGATCTTAAAGATTTCACAAGATTTGCTGTTTTCATTCATCAAGAGGTTTATCTCTTCTGTGGTTTGAAGAAGATAAAGGACTCTTCAAGCAAATCATGCAGTATGTGCTAATTTGCTTATCTAATCCCAGGATGTTCATGTTATCAACAGTGGTTTAGTGAATATGACTATCAGTACTGTTGCATTGTATTTTCTTCAGATTTCACTGTGTACATTCCCCACAAGTATGCACACACTTATTTTAAGAAATAAAATGTATGACCACACACCTTAGGTGACTTTTCTTCCTCCCCTCTTTCTTCGAAATAGAATTGTAAATATTTGAATAAAATCCTACCCAGTATGCAAAAATGTTTTAGGACTCACTCATGGTCAATGGATTGTACATTGCTCATCTCTGTTGGATACAGAGGTTCTAAAAATTTGGTGGGAAATTAGATAGCTGAAATGTTATGTGGCAATTATTTATTAAATAACTTGGGAAAGATAAAGTCAGGTAAGATCATTTTGAAGATAATTTCAAAACCACATTCAAGATGATATTTGAACAATTTGCCACAGTAAATTGGTACTGTTTCATTAGCTGGTCCCCAGCTAATGGCTCAGTAGCAGCCAACTGCAGTCACTGTCATAATCACCCCATGGAATACATGGAAAATACATTGATACACAATGCTAACAGAATCAATGTCACAGCTAATTCACTGAGAATAATTTGCATAAATATTTTCCACGGTGTGGATTTCACGCTAATAGATCCACCATTGACATAATATGCAGGAGAAATGTAGGGAATAATGACAGCCACTCTTTGTGGCCTTCATAGATCTCACAAAGGCCTTTGATTTGGTTAGCATGGACGGCCTTTTAAAAATACTTCCCAAGATTGGATGTCTACCTCAACTCCTTAACATCATCAGGTCTTTCCATGAGGAAATGAAGGGCACTGTAGTTTTTGATGACTCCAAATCAGATCCCTTTGACATCCAAAGCGGAGTGAAACAGGGCTGTGTCCTCGTGCCAAATCTGTTTGGGACCTTTTTGCTGTCATGCTGAAGCACGCTTTTGGAAATGCAACAGGTGTCTCTCTGGACTAGATCAGATGGAAAGCTCTTTAATCTCTCTAGATTGAGAACAAAGACCAAAGTCCAACTGAAATGCATGTGGGACTTCCTCTTCGCTGATGATACATCTGTTATTGCCCATTCTGCCAAAGACATCCAACAATTTATGAATTGTTTTAGTAAGGCCTGTCAAGATTTTGGATTAACAATCAGGCTGAAGAAAACACAAATCACGGGCCTGGGCATGGACTTACCTCCCTCTATTACCATCTCCACACAAGAATTGGAGGTTGTTCATGATTTCATATACCTTGGCTCAACAATCACTGACACTCTTTCTCTAGATGTTGAGCTGGATAAACGCATTTACAAAGCAGCTACCATGTTCTCTAGACTCACAAAGAGAGTATGGCTTAATAGAAAGCTGACAGCACATACCACGATCCAGGTCTATAGAACCTGTATACTCTCCTGTACTGCAGTGGGTCCTAGACCCTTTATGCACAGCAGGAGAGGAAGCTGAACATATTCCATATGCATTGTCTCCAATGCATTTTTGGCATAACCTGGCAGGACAAAGTTCCAAATAGTGTTGTCCTGGAACAAGCTGGAATTGTTAGCATGTATACATTACTGAAACAGCAATGTCTACGTTGGCTCAGGCATGTCATAAGAATGGCTCACTGTCGGAGTCCAAAAGCTCTCCTGTATGGAGAATTAGTGCAGGAAAAGCACCCCAGAGGGAGACCACAGCTGCGATACAAGGATATCTGCAAGTGGGATCTGAAGGCCTTAGGAATGGAGCTCAACAGATGGGAAACTTTGACATCTGAGCATTCAGCCTGGTGGCAGGTGGCGCAGCATGTCCTCTCCCAATTTGAAGAGACACTTGTTCAGCAGGCCGAGGCAAAGAGGCAGTCCCAAAACCAGCAAAATCAGGGGGCTGGACAAGGAACAGATTTTATTTGTCTTCAGCGTGGAAGCGATTGTCACTCTTGAATTGTCCTTCTTAGCCACACACTAGATGTTCCAGGACCTCTATTCAGAGCACATTACCAGAGTCTCTCTAGACTGAAGGATGCCTACTACTTTCTTTATGTGATACTATATTTACACAGTTAACTCTCACTTAGATGTATATACTCTCTATCCTATTTCTTTATCCTGCTTCCAGCTATAATCTTCTGGCTAGTTTTTCAACTCTATTATGTTCACTTCAACCAGTTGTCAAAGTGGTCAGATGAAGATCAAAGCTCAGGGCTAACACAACTCACTTCAGGAAATACCCAGAAGAGGGCAACTGAGTCTCCTTCAGGCAAATGACTTGGGCCAACTGATGTACTTTCTTGCAGAGCTTGCATGGTTTGTACCTCTTTTGAACGGTAGCAATTACAATAGAATACTATTAAAATTGAACTATCTATTTGATGTAGCAACATTTCTCTTGAACAGGCAACAAGGATTCTTTCTTTAGGTCACCAAAATAATTTTAGTGGGGTTTTTTTTCTTGCCAAAACATGATTTGAGTGAGTTTCATAAGTTTGGGAGTCAATTGTAGTAAATTTTTTTTCCCTGCCAAAACATGATTTGAATGAATGTGTATCATAAGTTTGGGAGTCAATTGTAGTAAATGTATAGGATTTATTCTACGGCACATCTGTGGGGGATACTCTCTAAGAAGAACATAAAATGCATATAGGAACACATTCGCTTTAAAATCTGAAATAGTGTTAATATTAATAAATGTTATGCATAGTAGAACAAAGCTAGTGATCATATGATCCCTCCTTGCTTCTATAATTTGTATCAGGTGCAAATCCCACACACCAGAAGAATTCTGTGAAAGCCATTGATAAAAGATCGCTGCTCGCTGCGTTTTAAAACATAAATGGTTGGTCATATTTACGGACAGCAGGAATCATCTGATGTTCATTTTCCCCCACTCCCCAAATAGGGTATAAGGGAACAGAAACTATTTGCTGTCTGATGCTGGTGAGAAGATAGCTTAGCAAAGCAGAGAGACACAACAGACATTTTCCATGGAGAGCATTGTTGTAATTAAAAATGACTTTAATTGTAGCTTTTAGGGCAGAAATGGGACAAATGAATAAGACATGCCTGGTGGATCTCAAGGAGAACTTAAGTCTCTTGTTCTTCATTCCCCTAGTAACAACTGATTTTAGTGTATGACATCACTGTATGACATCACAGTGTATGACATCACTGAACATTTTGCTGCTCCAGCAAGCAGCACTGAATGAGATTGAGTGGGGAAAACTTGGAGAACAATGACATCACACTACATATGTTTCTTTACAAGATGTTACTAAAGGAGGAGGAGGAGATGGGAAGTCTGCTGTGTTTATTGGCAGCCATATGTTTCTGTATCATTTAGTTTCACACATAGAAAATCTTTAGTGGCTTCCAGGATTGCATCCACATTAATTAGTGCTCTGTCCATTTTTAAAGTTTACCATACATTTCACTGAAATCATTAGAGTTTTTTTTCTGATATAACTAGCAGAAGCTTTTCTTTAGGATGCTTACAGCATTATCTTAAATCTAGATATGAACACATATTCTAGGACTAGGTGTATTTTTAGGCTTAAAATTAGTAACAAGAGTAGATTAGACACCCATACCACTGATGATCTAGCCCTTTGGCTTGGTAGTCATTCTCAAATGGTCTGCCAAATTGCATTGACTACAAGTATTGAATTGTGCAGAAGTGAATGAACAATTAATGTGAATTTTATCTGCCTTGCCCTCTTGTATGTGCTATTATGTGAGCTATTGTGTTCAGCTTCTGAAGATTACCCACATATATAAGTTAACAAAACTTTCTGAAGTCCATTTAAAAAAACATATGGCTGGAACAAAACATAGTTGGTATCAAAGTCACAAAATGAAGGTACAGACTAAAATGTCAATCTGAATTGCCATGCGAGGCCAAGCTTATTTTATTACATACATTCTGCTTTCTAAGTACTAATTAAATTCATAATGTAAACATGAAGCATACAGAGTTAAAATTCAAGGCCACAATATTTTGGATTGTCCCTTTATGTGTCTTTGGTTGACCGAGATCAACTCGTAGTGTATAAATGCATAAGTTATATAATTACCATATAAAAAGGAAAAAAAAATAATGTTGACTTGTATATTTCATTCTGACAAACGCACAGCGTTCGCGACTCAGAAAAGAAAAACTGGCGCTGCCTAAGAAAAATATCTATATGATTCCAGACTTTGGCAACTGGGGATTGTCTCTTACCATCAGCTAGTAGAAAACAAATTCCCTTTAAAAAAATGAGGTCCTAAGCGTTACTTTTAAATATCAGACAATTCCAGTTTTACATTTTAGGTATAGAGATGTGTTCTCTGATACAACTACTTTCCCTTTTTGGACTTCAAGTCTTTTCTTTCATAATACTGGAAATGGCACAACACTCAACATAGTATTTTGCAAGTCCAAACAAGCAATTTTTCATAGTTCAAATACTGTCCAGTTTCAGTTTCAACATCTCTCTGTCTTCTCCTTTACTACTGATCAATCTCTCCTTCTCTTACCCCTTTCCACTTCATAGGTCAGACACAGGGTTACAGGAATACTTCTGTGCAACTCCCATTCTTTTCAATGGGCTTGCAGAGGAGGACTTCCTGATGGGCTGTGTCCTTAGTCTCTCATCATACTCTTGCCTTTTAGCACATTCTCAGTCCCAGTATTTGGCTCAGAGCTCTTTAACACTGTCAGGAAATCTTAGCTTGCATAGTCTTCACAGTTTGAAGTAGCTGATCCCTCCCTCTTGAAAACAGAATGCACTGAAGTTCATCCCAACTAAAACCATTGCCCTCAAAATCAGGTCTTGCTCTAGATACATCTTTATGACACTGCTAAGTGACTTTATGTTCACTTAAAAAAATACAGGTAGTTTTTTTTTTTTGCATTCATATATTCATGTACTTTATCCTAATTAATAATAGAATTTTCTTATATTGCTGTAGTAGAGTCCCAGACTGCATTAGCGTGATATCAAAAATGACATAAAAGCTTATAAACCTTTCCAACCCCTGTTTTAAAGTTCATCATATCATTGCCTAGTTTTACCAAGAATGACATTTCATTGTTCGATCTGTAGATTTGATGTCAATGCACTTTAGCATCTCCTGTAATCCTGTATTAAAAAGCATATTTGTATGACATCTTTTAGTCCTGGTCAACCTTTTCATGTCTTTTAGGCACTTTTTTTCCATGTTCTCCATTAACATTAATTAGTATTCATTCTACTCCACGGAGGAATGCGGCTTAACATTATTTCTCTTCTTTTAGTAATAAGTGCCGAGATGAGAAGGCATATGAGTGGCTGGAAGTCTAGTGTTAGGATAAATACTTCCAGATGGAGAATTCCAATATGGTGTGGGTCCGGCAAAAAAGTTAGAGGAAGTGACTGGCAAAGCAGGAGGATGAGGGGCAACAAAGTTCATTTTCTGGGGATGTGCATGGTAAGAACTCATGTAGGGCAGGTCTGATGGATATTTATACATGGATGATTCTGGAGGATGAGGCTGGAGAGCTTGAGCAATCCCATGGAAGTCAAACTTGTAGGCATAACGCTTACCATGCACTTTAGTCATTATATTTTTGTCATAGTAGTAACGGAGTGCACGACTGAGCTTGTCATAGTTCATGTTAGGTTTGCTTTTCCTTTCCCCCCAGCGCCGGGCTACTTCATCAGGGTCAGTCATTTTGAACTCTCCATTGGTGCCCTCCCAGGTGATACAATTAGAATTGCTGCTATCCGACAGGAGCTCCAGCAGGAACTGCCACAGCTGTATCTGCCCACTCCCTGCAGACAGAAAGTGGGATGGGGAAATGAGAAAAGCAATGGCTAAAAATGTTAAGGCATACATTTTCAACACGTCTCTGATCAGAGATACTGGGCTGTTAGTCTAGCCTACATACAGGAAACCTAGAGCCCCTTGGGTACATGCAGCACTCAACCAACTTTCATACAACCCTGGTCTGAACTCAAATTTATTTGCCTCCCCCTACCCAAAGGATTAATATTGGAGAAAGTGCAGCACAAAAGACAGGAAGGGCATGATGGCATCACATGTCTTCCTTTGGGGGGGGTGTTCACATTTTTTGCTTCCATGTGTTTGCATGAGACAGAAAGACAGAAAAGGTAACAATGCTAAACTCAACCAATCCCCAACACTGGTCACTTTAGTATGCTGCCCCAGCCTGCTATTACCATATAATAGTTCTCAGTGAGCAGAAGGTAGCCCATCCTTGGCTAAGCCCTATCAAAGTAGACTGCTCAGATCTAGGCTCTATAGGCCATGATATTCAGTATTATTTTTCCCACTTGAGAAGATAAGACATCATTTATTTTAAATATGAACTAAGGATGGAATGCATACCTGCTAAATACCCCATTCTTGTCAATTCAGACTTTCTTAACATGACAAAACACAACCATTTTATGGCTAGGAATCTCTGGGACCGAAGAAGAAGATGATGTATGGATCCTGGAGGAAGCTATATTCTCCCTCTTTATTAAGCCCTCCCATCCACCCACAGTGTGACGACCATCTTCTCTCCCTTCCTCTCCAGCTCTGCATGGCACTTGAAACTCTGTTCTGAAGGGCTTCCCAGGCCTCTGGAGCAGATACTGAGGGCACACACTTTCAAGGTTTCCTGACAGGATTCTTTTGTCAGCATAAAGATCCAACAGGATCCTAGCTAATACATTTCTATTTCATAGATAAAAATCATAAATCAGTAATATTTCTTTGTACCTGGATTTGCAAGACGGCTGCTGGTTGGGCCAAGAATTTGATAGGGATCTAGAATTTTTAAAAAAATACATAAATCAGGCTGATATTTCAACACTGACAAAATTATTAAAACACATGTGATACTAGTGCTTCTGATCAGAATCTGGTAAATAAGTTTTGGTACATTGATTGTCTGCCATAATCCGTTATTTTGATTAGTTTGAAGGAATAAATACAAAACAAGAACTCTATCTTAATTGATAGTTACAAACCAATATTAACACTGAGTTACACTGGTTCAACAAAGACAGGGTTGCAACAAAATTCTTTCTCATGCAGCTACTTGGCATGTCTAAGCACCTTTCTCATGTTACTTGGCAGGATGGGCAATTCTGTCTTGTGATCCTGGACAGAACAAGATGCCCGAGCATCACTACACTGGCAGTCTTTTGCAGTGCAGAAGAGACATGAAGGAGGAGGGCTCCATCAGGTCTTTTTCACTCTTTAGTGCTGCCAGAACTACCAACTATATTTCCATTCTGGTCTCCTAAACCACTGGTTCTTAACCTTGGGTTACTCAGGAGTTTTGGACTGCAACTCCCAGAAGCCTTCACCACCAGCTGTCCTGACTGGGGTTTCTGGGAGTTGCAGTTCAAAAGCATCCGAGTAACAAAGGTTAAGAACCACTATCCTAAACAAATTGAGGGTGGAGGGACTAGAATGGGTTGGTAGATGAAGTGCTCATGAACCAGCAGAGGGGGAAACCATTGTGCATTTTGTGCAAATTCTTCCAAGTTACACAATTTGTGCAAAAACAAATGTTCTTGCCCGTTCAGGAAATCTTATCAATAGCACCAGCAAAAATCTTAATCTTTTACAAACGAGGGGTTGTTTTTCAGCTTCTTCATCTCTGCACATGCAGAGAAGACAGTCCCTACTATCGGTGGCTTCAGTAACCCTTCGTGCAGAAAATAATTGCATTAGCTTTATCCATACCTAATTGAGGACGTTGGTCTTCTGTTTTGGGCACAGTTGAAGATGATCCTTGGGAAGCTAGGGGGGAAAAATCAATACATGCACTTGTTTTTCATATTTGACTAGTAACATTGTTATTGGGAAGGAACATAGTCTACTCCCACCTAAGAAGGAGTATGGTTCCTGAATTTAGATATAGAGGTGAAAATCTATTCATCTGGTAATCTGTTTAATAATAATAATAATAAAAAAGAAGCATCTACAACAGGATGTTGATCACAGATCCACAGTATAATATGGACTCCCCAGTGAACACTGCATTTGTGGTTATGATATTAATAAGGCAATCCCATTTCTTAGATGCTTTGTTCTACACAGTATAATATGGGCTCCCCAGTGAATACTGGATTTGTGGTTATGATATTAATACGGCAATCCCATTTCTTAGATGCTTTGTTCTTAAAAAGAGCTGCATCTTAAAGATACAAAATTAAAAATGAGAAAAACAATAAAATCAATTAATAATGAAAAAGACCTTGCTCCACAGGACAAATTATATGGATGATTAGTTGGCCTATGGGCACTTAGTGTCCATAGTTAAGACACAGAAATAAATGTCTTATCTTGGCACAAAAGAATCATAATGTTGGATCCAGGCAGGCTTCCCTAGTCAAAGCATTCCATATATAGACAACTACAACTAGAAGGACCACTTCCCTTGTTACCATCTTCCAAGTTTTTCTCGGAGGAGCTAAGATATGACTTACATGCAACTGTCACTCTCTGATTAGGCTAAAAACAAGAAAGAATATACCTGAGTTACAGTTTAACATCTTTAATGTAGGCTCTTAATTGGTAGAGCCAATTTCTTCTTAAACGTTTTGTTTTCCACAGGCTTGTTTTATCTATCTATCTATCTATCTATCTATCTATCTATCTATCTATCTATCTATCTATCTATCTATCTATCTATCTATCTATCTATCTATCTATCTATCTATCTATCTATCTATCTATCTACAGGTTTTAGAACCCATTTCCTCTGGAGATGTAGTTTATATATCTATTTGTCTACAATATTTCTATCCCATCTTTCCCCCCCAAAAGATCCAAGGCAGCTTACATCATTGAAACAATATTTAAAAGCTAAAAACAGTAAGTATACAAATATTTTTTAAAAAATTAAACAAGTATATTAAAATGGTAACTAAGGTCAGTATTAAAACACATTTAAAACAGAGCACAACAGGCCATTTAAAACTCCTTCCAGACCACTGGGCATTAAGGAAAAGCCTGCCTAAAGAGAAAAGTACCTGCCTGCAGAAGGACAGCCTAGCTTCCCATGGGAGAGACTTCCAGAGTCTGGGAGCAGCAAAAGAGAAGGCCCTCTCCCATGTCCCCACCAAGTACATCTTGTGAGAGTGATGAGACTGAGATAAAGGCCTCTCCTAATTATCTTAACGCCAGGACAGGATCATAGATGGAGATGTGGTCTTTTAAACCGGAAGGACTGAAGCTGTTTAGAGCTCTGTAGGATAAAACCAGCACTTTGAATTGTGCCCGGAAGCAGAACAGTAGAGCTGGTGTATCAGGGGAGTTATATGTATGTGCCCTGTAACCAGCCCCAGTTAACAATCTGTCTGTGGCATTTGGGACCCTTTGAAGTTTCTGAACACTTTCCAAAGGCAGCACCACATAGCACAGTAATCCAGCCAAGATGTAATGAGGGCACATGTCACGGTGGCCAGATCAGCCCTCTGAAGAACTGGGTGCAGCTGGCACAGTAGTTTTAACTTTGCTAAGGCACTCCTGGTTATCACTGAAACCTGGGCATTCAGGCTCAGTGAGGAATCCAGGAACATCCCCAAGTTGCTTGCCTATGTTTTCAGGAGTGTAACCCCATCCAGCACAGACTGCAACCCTATTCCTTGATCACCTTTCAAGTGACCACGAGCACCTCTGTCTTGTCCGGGTTAGGTTTCAGCTTATTCGCCCTCATCCAGTCTGTTACTGACACCAGACATTGATTTAGAACCCAGATAGCTTCCTTGGATTCAGATGGAAAGGAGAGATAGAGTTGGATGTCATCAGTGTACAGGTGACACTGAAGCTCTCCCAGTGCTTTCATGTAGATATTAAATAGCATAGAGAACAAAACATAACCCTGAGGGACTCCACTGGCCAACAGCCAGGGTGTTGAACAAGAGTACCCCAGTGCCACCCTCTGAGTACTGAGAAGGACTGGAGCCACTGTAAGACAGTGCTTCCTAATCCCATCCCAGAGAGATGGCCCAGAGGGATACCATGGTTGATGATATCAAAAGTCCTCTGAGTACTGAGAAGGACTGGAGCTACTGTAAGACAGTGCTTCCTATTCCCATCCCAGAGAGACGGGATGGGATAGCATGGTTGATGATATCAAAAGCCCTGGTCCAGCAGAACCAACAAGGACAGATTCTCCCTGTCCAGTTTGTAGTGTAGGCCACTGACCAAGGCAACGAAAGCTGTCTCTGTCACATAACCAGGCCTGAAGCCACATTGAAATGAATCCAGATAATCCGTCTCATCCAGGAATCCCTGCAGCTGAAAAGCCACAACCCAACACCTTGCCCAAGAATAGGATATTAGAGACTGTAATATTAAGTTTTTCACCTGCCATGAAATAATAATAATAAAACGCTAGCTTACATTTTGACTGGGGAGAAGGATGACTGTGGCTTGTCCATGCTGATCTTCTGGCTGGTTCATAAGGTATATCTGTGTGAATAATAAATTGTTTCAAGTACATAGTGAAGAATAAGGAAAAATCTCTCCATGTGTGATGGTTTCTGTGTAGTGATCCTAATAGAGAGTAAAATACTCCCTATAGTTGATAGCTGCATTGTGTTAAGTCTAAATTCTAATTAATTCCTTCAATAGTTCACCCAACTGCTATTATTAAAAATAATCTGCTCCTATAATGATGTCTGTTTCCTGGCTACTGAGTTCCATTCACCTAAGTCAAATGTATTTTCTTATTAAGAAAAGCCAGATTTCTCCAGACTTTAATAAAAGCCCAGAAGCACTAGAATAATTTATTGTCAATTATTGAGATGCATCCACAAGGACTATTGTGATAAGAGGTATAATTTTCTATCATAGATTATCTGTACAAAAGTTTACCAACTTGGTAGGCAATAAAAAGCAATGGAGAGAATGTAATAAAAATCCAAATGTTTTATGAAGTATCTTTTCAGATAGGTTTGCGTTACAAATATTGTGAAACAGAAAAATATGTGTCTGTGTTTTTAGATTCAGAAACAGAGGTGAAGAATCTTTCTTAAAAAAAATTCCTGGAAAAAATCCATAAATATTTTAGATATTTTTTGTCATTGACAAATATTTTCATACTTGTGGAAGGATCCATCAGTGAACTTCTGCTGAAAAAACATTTAACATTCAATAGAATTGTACTCCCTATAGTCTGCAGCCTCCAATACTTGTTCTGGAGTGTTGATAAACTTTCCTGAGCCATATTTGGGGCAGCAAAAAGAAAAAGGTGAGAAAAATTCCTAAAATTCCACCAATGGAATGCTGAGTTTGCTTTTGTTTTAATGACCAAGGTGCCTAACAAAATCTTAGCAATATGGGCCTAGCGTGCTGTGATCCATGGGGTCACGAGTCGGGACACGACTTAACAACTAAACAACAAAATAATTTAACATAGTTGAACATAGTTTGTACAGGTTTTGTGTAATTGTACATCATATATTTAGTACTACTATTCTGTGGTAAAAGAGAGGAGGATGAAAAGATCAGTAAGCTAAACAGTAGCACATTAATAGCAAAACAAAACTGACAGAGTGAATCCAGCATACCTGGCCTAGTAGTAATTCTTTGTGTTGCTTCAGGATATACTGACGTATTTGGGAAAATAAAAGCTGCTCCCCCTGAAGACAAAAAGACAACAGAAATCAGGATAATTTTGCTTTTACTCTGTTTACTGGAACACAACTTATGAACGTATGAATTGAAGCTGAATGATGAGAACGCATCTGATCCCCATCAGGCGTTCTGGTGAAATTTGTTCAACTCCAGGATGATAGAATAGGAAAAAAGCAACCAAGAAAAAAGAAGAATGTATCTTTATTTTTCAGTTAAAATAATCTGCACCAACAGGTCAAGAGAGTCCACATTTTCTTTGAAGTATAATTCATTTTACCCTGTCTTTAGGGAAGTCACTCGAGTAACACAGAGGTAGGCAGTATTAGATTTACCTGCCATAACACTAATTTGACCAAACTTGTATGAATCCAAGTTCCTGCAATGTGGTAAATTCTGTTGTTATATGGATTCAGGCCTTATATCTACCTAATACCTAATGCACACAGCTTTTCTTACTATGGTCAAGCTCATCATTTTTATAAAACCTGATTATCTTCTGATCTCAACAGTTTGTGGAAATGAGCATTAGCTCTGTAATTTGTAAAAACAGAATAGGTAGAACGTGTACATATTCTACTAATTATTGCTTTACCATACATGTTTTGAAGTAGTTACAGTATCTGATTGAAACTGGGAGAAACAGGTTCAAATTGTTACGAGCAATGAAGGTGACCTTGGATTAGTTATATTCTCATTCTCTTTCTCACCTACTTTATCAGATTTATTATGAATATAATGCTAATGGAATATTATGCATATTTGCTTGGGTTCTATGAAAGGAAGAAATTAAATAATTAAAGAAAATGAACAAAGATTTTCAAATCCATTTCCTTGAAACACAAAGTGAATATCATCCACAGGCGCTCTAGATCCAGAGCTTGTTTCTATTCTTACTTTTAAAAAAATCAAACAAGCTATGGGCCAGGATCCTATTGATGTTCATACAAAATCTGTGTAACTTGCTGTGGCTAATTGATAAAGTGACAGGAAATGACTTTGGTCATGTGTTTGACTACATAACTGAGATGTGCCCTGGAACATAATCTGCTGTTTGAAAACACACAGTTAAAAGAAGAAGCCAGTAAGAATACTTGGGCCTTCCAGGCTTTTTGGAAAGCCTGCAAGAAAGCACTTGAGTTAGAGTGACCTGCTGCAAGTTTTGCAAACCTTATAGGATTCTTTTCATGGCTACATGGCTGAGTGAAAACATAATGAAAAAGATGCCACCTTGTTTGTCTGTTTCTAAAGGACAACTGTGTACAACAAGTTAGGGAAATTGCAATTCAAGTTATTTAACCCTGTACAAAACATATATATGATATGTGAATCCTATGCATACTCACTTGAGTTATGGATAGAAATCAGGAAATTACTAATCATAATGTATAACTAATAGTTAAAAAACATAGCACTGAAATGTCATTGAAAATGTACTTGAGCTCTAAAAAGACACACGGAGCCAAGAATCATGTTTCAGTTTCTTATAGAGCTGTTATTTCTGGTCACTCTCAGTCATTAAAACCTTCAGGCATGATAATGATAATGAGACAGCCCAAATATTTATTTCATTAGATCAATTAAAAAAAATATTGTGTTGCCTTTTGATGCACAGTTTCGAGAAGAGCTTTGTTTTAGTTTCCTAACCTATGGGCCAAGTATGAACCAAATTTAATTCTAAAGTCAGGGGAACCAATACAATGTTTCTTTTTATCTTCTTTCTATTGCTTTATGACCTATTCTAATGAGTTGTTGCATGAGGCAAGAATCTGCCTAGAAAGGTCTAAATAATTATAAGTCCCAATGAAAACTGATAAGAATCAATGGGACTTATAGTAGTACTACACTAACAAGTTCCATTCATAAAAAAAACACCCTCCTCACAATTGGATTTAGCTCATACCGCGATTGTACTTCACTCAAAAGCCACAAAATGACACACCATGGATTTCCATGAGGCATGGGAAGGACCAGGGAAAAGAATTATGAAGGAATCCACTTTCGTCCTCCCACATCTTTTAAACAAACACTTGTGTACATCTCCTAAGGTAACTGGTGCATTTCTCTGCTGTGGGCGTAAAATACATCTTCCTGAAAGGGACATACTGTATGCACTTTTCATGTTTCAAATGGGGCAAGGAAGCATGAAATGAGGAACCATCAGTTACTTATGCTGCTTTCTCTTGGTGTTTCTCTTTTTCATGTGAATGCAGTAGAAGCTCATTACAGCTGCTTGTACCCTGCCTCTACCATCTAACTATTGAACAGTATATAGCTATCTATCAGTTGTATAAACTACATATGGTATGGAACTGGGAGTGAAGATAGGGCAACAGTCAGGAGTCTCTACTGTCTTCCTTCATGACATCTTTTTGGATGTAAAAATATTTGACTGGGACTGACTGCCAAAACTCAGTAGTTTTGCATTTCTTCCGAAGTACATTTATTTTTATACTGATAATCTGCATATTCAACAGCGATGCTATCAATGTAACATGACTAATAGCTAAAAACAGAATAATTAATCTTAAATCAGTAAAATCAAGCTTAACATGAGTAAAACATTTAATTAATTACATTTAATCCTCTGCTTGGAAAGGTAAATCAACAGACCTGCAACAATCAAAGACATCCAAAATAGGTCTTTATATTTGCATAATGTTCTGCTTGGACAAAAGGCTAAGCTTGATAGATAGCTGAACCCTTTCTACTCATATATATATACTCTCTCTCTCTCTCTCTCTCTCTCTCTCTCTCTCACACACACACACACACACACACACACACACACACACACACACACACACACACACACACCATTCCAGGAAACCATTCCAATATAGAATTCTGTACCTGTAATGCTACATCCAAGCAAAAATAATATACCTTGTTTATTTCATTCAAAAGCCTAGAGAAAGGCATGGTTTGTGTATTCGCTGTATCTCTGTAAGTGTTTGTATGCATGCATATATGGAAAAAGGTTTAAGTGCATGAATATCTTCTTTGCCAGGACAAATATGGGAACTTGCGTAGGACAATATGCACTGTCCACATGGACTTAATCAAAGCATGAAGTCCTAAATATTTCATGTATTTATGGACTACATCTGTGTATGCATGTGTGATCATGCATTCATTTATATGTCTGTGAGAGAAATCCCCCTCAGTACTAGAAAGCATATTATACCCTTAAGCCTTGCCATCTTTCTTAATTTTACAGTTAACATGCAGTGGTTAAATAGGAACCTTAAATATATGGCCTATAGGAAGGGGAGCAGTGACAGCATTACCTGTATTTCTAGCATGCATTAACCGTGGAGAGTTTTGTAAGGCCTTATCAACATCATCTGAAGTCAAATGTGGAAGAGGAGCTACAAAACAAAAAGCAACACCAAAATTTTTAAAAAAAGATATTCAGAAGTATTTTAATAACCATTTGCTTTTATCATGATAGGATTATTTCTTGGTGACTTTAGCATAAGCCCACCGTTCTGATCTTTGCAGGTTTGAGTTTATGCATTGCTGGAAGCAGGCACTTAATTTCACTCAACATATTACAGGGAAATATCTGGGTGACTAGAAAGTCTATGAAAATGACAATGTTGTGTTGGTGTTGCACTGCATGATTAACCCCCCAAAAAACATTTCATTATTCAGATCTGCAATATGTTTTCATATCCTTCAAGTAATCAGTTCACTCCTTTTTTCTCCTATCTTTCCATGATCCCTAGGAGATTTGTTCTATTTATATTTAGGAGGCTCTTTTTAATTTATCCTTAAAGATTGTTAACTTCCATTTTAATGAGAGTCTCAAAAAGTGCTCTTTTGTGCAGTACTCAAATTTTTTAATCATGCCTGGAATCTCTTTATAAATCAATATGTATATGATCTCATTTAGAATTATCACTTCAATAATGGAAAGAAGTTTGTGGCGGTGGATCTGTGACCAGAAAAAACATTACTTCAAAATCTTACATATATGATGTTCAGCCTGATTTTTGGTCCCTGTAATCCTTGCAACTGGTAATATTTCCTTGATTTGACATTTCCTTAAATATATGAGCATCTTATTTGAAGTAGAAAACTGCAATAAGCTCTGAAATAAGACTGGACATACATAACCTTTGCGGGTAAAATACATGAAAAATTCTTACTCTCTCTGAGGTAGTGTAGGTGTGAGAGAAGAATGTCAGCATTATAGCTTGGTGTGAGCCTCTGGAAGTCATCTTTGGTCATCTTACACAGCTCCTTCCCATCAATATTCTGAAACAACAAGATGTCCACATCTGGAAGGCCATATTCTTTGACAGCCCATTCCAACCACTGGCGTACATGATCTGTGCTCCATAGTGTGGGATCTGTTACGAAAAACAGAAAAACTCATTGTGCAATGTTGTGGATAATTAGTAAGATTACTATTAAATTGGTTGAACTTGTTTCCATAGTAAATGTGCTGTAGTAATACTGAGTGATTTTAGTTATTCTTGTTCAGTGAATCAATCCCAGAAGCCTTTATTCTATCTGTCTGAAGCAGAGTCTACCTTCGCAGTCTACCTTTCATGTTTAGAAGCATGCCTGAGCATTCATGCTAATTGTCAAGCACCTTGAATAGTGTTGTTATGAAAAAGCACTACAATAAAAGTGACTCTGTCATCTATTTAATATAGTTTTCTATTGCTAAATGCATATCTACAGCAACTTTTGAAAATTAAATAAATCCCTTCACCTGTCCTGTGGACCCAATGGTTGCCTAATGGAATTTTTGAAATTATGAAAAATAGCAAGGGCTAATGACATAATTGCATTTTTACATTGCATCAGTTAGGCTGCTGGATTTCAGCTAATATTTAATAAATAATATTTCTATAGGACACCAAGTTCTATTCAGTGGGCTAGAAAGATTAATAATTCACAGTAGAGGTTTGAGTGTGTATGTGTTTGCTTTTGTTTTGCCACATCATCCTGCAGTATGAAATGGCTGTGCATATATGAAAACATCTGGCAGTCAGAGGCCAGATATGCTTTGTACAAACTGCTGCTTATGCATACAGATCCCTTGCTCCTTCAAAAACATATGCACCCATTTTCAAAACTCCATTTCAAGACAGATGTGAGCGGGAGAAAGCTATTTATGCTCAGTTATAGTTCAAAGACTGGGAAATATATCAACAGCCAAAGGGAAAAACATGGTTTCATGCCCTATTTCTGAACATATTATCATTCACTAGATTAGTTTGCTGCTGTTCAGAAATGCAAAATGTAATCTGCATGTATTTGGATGATTATGCAATGGATGTGCAGCTTGACAAATAACTGACAGAATTACAGCTTGCATTTTTACCCACAGCCAATGCTTTTTGAAAATTCTTCCCGCTGTATAACTGTAAGAATATTAAGCAATACAGCAGAAGCAGAAATGTTTACATAAATTAATGTTTTCAAACTGTGAGGAAAAGCCAGTATTTCTTTTCTAAAAGTAGCCCTGTATGTTTATGCTACTAAAGGAATATAGTGTATTATTTTTTTTACTAATGTGAATATTTTTTTCATATTTTTTCAAATATTTTTCATATTTTTTCAATATTTCATATGAAATGTTCCTGCCTCCATCCTTCTCTCATAATAGTACGTAATATCGTATTTGTCAAAGGACTGGCGCAAGTATTCCAATACACAACTAGATTCCTATATACCTGAAAAATGGCTGTTGAACATATGAACCAATTAATTTGAAAAACAATTACGATGCCAGGAAAAATAAATATCATTGTTTTCAATGAGGAGTTAAGCATGTGCTTAAGTCACCTGAAAACAATGTTAAGAGTTAAAACAGCTTAACCAGGATGTGGCATATCCTGCCTAGAAGGGTTGTTTAAACATTGATTTTCTCACCTGCTGGAACAATAACTCTCCGTTCATTGGTGGTCATATTTGGTGGTGGGATATGCTTTTCTTCCATATAGTTTCCGTAAGACATGCCAGCATTCTCTGAGTTGCTTGCTATCTTTCCTCCTTTTGATACACTGCAATTGTCAGGGGAATTCCTAGGAAAACAATTGGGAGATAGGGAAAGTAAATATATTTTTCAGTAAGCAATATTCACAAGAGGAGGAGATGCCTCAGGAAGATTTTTTTGCATAAGAGGGAGCTCAAAAATCTCAGTTTCTCTCAAAAGCTCAGTATCTATTATAAATCCTATTTCTGGTTCTCTTATGTCTAAAAATGGAGATCAGGACCTTAGCTGCTGGACACAGTATCCTGACACATAAAATACTGACACATTAAAGATCTGAGTCTATATAATAAAAGGAAAAATAAAAACAAATGCATCGTGGTACCTTTAAGATTAATAGATTTATTTCAGCACAAGCTGCTACTGATTACAATCCATGTTCTTGTAATGCATGAAAGTTTATACTCAAAAATAATCAGTTAGGATATAATCAGATGGACATTGTCCTGCTGTTTGGTCTGCTGCAGGGACAGGCTGGTTCACTACTTTTTCCAGCAATCAGAAGACATAATTGCTGGAGTGAACTGGTCCATCTCCAAAGCATTTCTTCCCACACCTTTCTGGGCTCCGGTCAAGAGTTTCTACTTTTTTTTTTTCGCTGCGGGTAGGATTTTGCTTCATTTTCCACTGTGTGAATTAGCCAAAGCAAGCTTGCAACTTTCCAATTGCCTTCTGCTGCGAATTTACTAATATCATGAAGTGGCTTAAGAAGAAACGTTAGCCACTTCAGAATATTGGAAAACTGAATACTTCCTCCACTCTGTAGAGGAGAATTTATTCTTCCACACATCTAGGCCTATAGACAGAGATAGTTGGAATATATTAATTCAGGAGAAATATAGTTCAAGACAGATCCTTGTGAGAAATATACTGGATCCAAGTTATTTAGAGATTTGTAAGTAAGAACACTCATTTCACATACTAGAAAGGTGATGCTAAAAATCCTCCAAGGTAGGCTTCAGCAGTATGTAGACTGAGAACTCCCAGAAGTACAAGCTAGATTTCGAAGGGCAGAGGAACTAGAGACCAAATTGCTAACATGCGCTGGATTATGGAGAAAGCAAAAGAGTTCCAGAAAAATATCTACTTCTGCTTCATTGACTATGCAAAAGCCTTTGACTGTGTGGACCACAGCAAACTACGGCAAGCTCTTAAAGAAATTGGAGTGCCTGAACATCTTATTTATCTCCTGAGAAATCTGTCTGTGGGACAGGAAGCAACAGTTAGAACTGGATATGGAACAACTGATTGGTTCAAAATTGGGAAAGGAGTACGACAAGGCTGTATATTGTCTCCTTGATTATTTAACTTATATGCAGAATACATCATGCGAAAGGCTGGACTGGATGAATCCCAAACCAGAATTAAGATTGCTGGAAGAAATATTAACAACCTCCAATATGCAGATAATACCACTCTGATGGCAGAAAGCGACGGGTAATTAAAGAACCTCTTAATGAGGGTGAAAGAAGACAGTGCAAAAATGGTCTGAAGCCCAACATCAAAAAACTAAGATCATAGCCACTGGTCTCATCACCTCCTGCCAAATAGAAGGGGAAGATCTGGAGGCAGTGACAGATTTTCTATTCTTGGGCTACATGATCAGATGGTGGCAACAGCCACGGAATTAAAAGACGCCTGCTTCTTGGGAGGAAAGCAATGACAAACCTCGACAGCATCTTAAAAAGCAGAGACATCACCCTGCCAACAAAGGTCCGCACAGTCAAAGCTATGGTGTTTCCAGTAGTGGTATATGGAAGTGAGAGCTGGACCATAACGAAGGCTGACCGCTGAAGAATTAATGCTTTTGAATCGTGGTGAGAGTCCCCTGGACTGCAAGGAGAACAAACCTATCAATCCTGACGGAAATTAACGCTGAGTGTTCACTGGAAGGACATATCCTGAAGCTGGGACTCTAATACTTTGGCCATCTGATGAGAAGAGAGGATTCCCTGGAAAAGCCCTTGATATTGGTAAAATGTGAAGGCAAGAGGAGAAGGGGACGACAGAGGACAAGATGGTTGGACAGTGTCATAGAAACTACCAACATGAATTTGAACAAACTCCAGGAGGCAGTGGAAGACAGGAGGGTCTGTCATGCTGTGGTCCATGGGGGCACAAAGAGTCGGACATGACTTAACATCTAAACAACAACAACAAAATAAGAACAAGGAATTGTACTTAAATTCACATAGGTCATAACTACTTTAATATTTATTCACTTCTTTTTAATTTTATTCCCCACTTTTATTGGATTACTGTAATGCATTTTATGTGGGACTGCCTCTGGAAAGTGCCAGGAAACGTCAGCCAGTCCAAAATGCAGCAGCCAGATTGCTGATTGGGACTGGTTACAGGAATCACATAACACCCGTTACAGCAGTTCCACTGGCTGACAATCAGTTACTGGGCACAATTTAAAGTGCTGTTTTTAACCTATTAAGCCCTAAAATGGCCTAGGTTCAAGCTATCTGATATACCGCATTTCCCATTTTGAGCTCGCTTGGTTGTTAAGATCATCAGGATAAGGTTTTCTCTTGGTCCCACCACCTTCACAGGTGCATCTGATGGGAACACAGGAGAAGGCCTTCTCTGTTGCTGCTCCCAGACTTTGGAACTCCCTCCAACAGGGGGCCAGGCTGTCCTTCAACAAGCAGGCAAAAACTTTTATCTTCAGGCAAACCTTCCCTCAATAATCAGCTATCTGTCTGTGATTTCTTAGAGTGTTATACTGCTTGTGTAGTATAACACATTGTTAGTACTACTTATGTTTTCCTATCAGAATGATATATTTTTAAATTTATATACTTATTGATCTTTGCCTTAATATTGCCTGTTAATTGATGTAAGTTGCCTTCTTATTCATTGTTCATAAATTTTAAACATCACTTTTTAATTATGCTAACCACTGTTATATACTCATTGTTTTCAACTTTAACTATTGCCTTTCATTGTTGTAAGCCACCTTGGGTTCTTTTCAAGGAGAAATACGGAGTAAAAATATTTTATATAAATAAAAGAAATAGTCCAATGAACGCAGAGCTTCGTAATATTGATGAGACATAAACTGATAAAGTGGTTTTACAACCATGTTTTTTTAAATAAATGAAATTTATGGAAGGCTGTGAGATGTAAAGGGTGGAAACCTCTTGTTGCAACAGTGAAGTGCACTCTTTTAGATTGCCATGAATAACTGTGCATTCAAAGTACCAAACAAACCAGTGAACCAACCCCACACCCCATTTTCAGTGTATTCTTTAAAATATCAAGGGATAGCAAGGATCATCTGGGGGGCTTTGAGCTACTAGGGTGGGTCTCTAAATTGTAGGGAATAGTAAAGATATATAAAAACAAGGATAAAGGAGAGAAAATTTAGCATTTCTCACTCAAATCCTGAAATACGTGCTTAAGACTTTTACCTTTATAATCATTAGGAAAAATCACTCACTTTATCATATCCTGCTTTAAAAGGCCACAAGATGAGTTCCATATACAGTACTGTATGCAAAGCAGTACCTATCAACCCTCTCTCTAATATGTGCTACAAAACTGAAACTACCAAGAATATGTATCTGAAGTAAAGAAGCAGGCAGGTGTGAACCCAAAATTTCAGGAACACACTATTTTACCTGTGCAGAGACCTCTTTGTACACTAGAAATGTTCTTTGGATAGCAAAGAGTTAAATAACTTTTAGTTATTTAACTCCAAATCATGCAGTACTGGCTTCATTAGAGCCAGTTCATATTATTCTTACTTGTCTAATAATCCCATTTTCATGAAATAAATACTGTATAGACAAAGTTACTGGGGAAAATTTGAATCATACTTCCATGTTTCCTAAAGGGAAATCTTGGTATTTATATCTAGTTCTGCCTTTCAGTACTGAATATTTAGTAGTGTGTATCCTCCTGTCTGAAACCACATACTATTTTTCCCCTTCAAAGTGAATCAGCTCCAACTCTACAGTAGACTTGCCCAGCCCCGATACCCTACAAATCCATTAGACTACAACTCCCATCATCCTAGTCAGCATAGCCAGTAAAGATGGTAGAAGTGAGGAACATAAGGTTGAGGATCTGCATCTCCACAGGCTCTGAATATCTGTATCATGCTATAAATTATTTGCTGAATCAGATTAGGAATAACTGACAACCACAATAGGGAGATCAAAGCATAACCCATAGGCAGACAGCCATTTCTTACAGAACATCAGCAAAGAGGCTGCCTAGAAGGGGAAAGCTCGTTTAAGGACAATCTGCTCTATTTTTGAATAGTCGAAGGGCAGAAGACAATAACAGAAAAACACCCTAGAGAAAAGTATGTCCAGTACAAAGAGTGCAGCCTGGCTGTGATTCATTTATAATTCCTGGCCTGAACTGTAACCTGAGACATCCTCCTTCATAATGGCATGTTGTCGGAGTCCTCTACAACTGTAAAGATACTTTGTCACACCTGACAAAGTACACAAGAACTGTTTTCCCCCTCCCTCCCTCTCACTCCCTCTCTTTCTGTGTGTGTGTGTGTCTCTCTCTCTCTCTCTCACACACACACATACAGACAAAAGTAGTGCTGGTTGCATTATTAGATTTACTGTATTCATTTCAACTCTTTAAAACTGCCAGTACTTTTACAAGAAATCCTCAAATGCTCTTAAATTCTTCGTGAAAAACAAACTGAACAAATTTACTTCCCCAGCTGCACTGGTCGTATTTACTAGATATAACCATTCTCAGAATGGAGAGGATCTTATTGCTCTACCTGATTGCCTTATAGATGAGATGTCTTTTAGAAGAAAAGAGGTGGCAATTTTAACTAAGCACCCTAAAGGTCAATTTTGAATACTGAGGGACTCAGACTCAGACAAATGCAGTCAACTCTCTCTGATCAATAAATAGATCCACTTTTCTTTCTCCTACCTTTCTTTTTTTAAAATTATCTTGTTCTTTTTATGAGATTTCTAGTTCAGGCAAGACAGTTGCTTAAATAAAAATCTCACCCAACCCTAACTAGAGTCTCCTAAGTCTTAAAAC